TCCTGTATCATCTCCCTCCTTTCTCTCCCAGTGTCTGTAATCTTTTCTTCACATTGCAGCCAGAGGGATGTCTCTGAAATGCAAATCTGATGCCAGTCTCCTATTTAAAATCATTCAAAGGCTTGTTGGGCTCTCAAGGTAAAGCCCAAGTTCCTCTATAGTTATAAGGCCCGTTGGGATAGACACCCCACTGCCCCTAACTTCCAGCCTATCTTTCCTACTTACCTCCCCGACTTTTCCTCCCCGCCTTCACCACACATTAGGTTCAGACGCGTGTTCCATTCGCTTGGCCGCAGGCCTTGGCACCGGCCACTCCACCCCACGGAGCCCCCACATCTACCTGCCTAGCCCCTTTCCTTCCGCTAATGCTTGAGAGTTTCCCTGTGGAGATCCTTTCTTCCAGGAGACCCCTGTGCCTGATTCCCATGTTTATGCTAAATGCCTCTCCCAGGTGTTCCCATTACACCCTTTACTTGCCCACCTATTTACAAGTTTAATTGCTGGTTTTTTCCAGCAGATTGTAAGTTCTCAAAGGGCAGGATCCATGTTTTGTTTGTTCAATATTGTATTTCAAGAGCCTAGCACATGAATGAATGGAGCCTGCAAAGCAGTATCTCACAGAAGTTGGAGACCCTTTATGAGGTAAAAATACATACATATATGTGTGTGTGTATATATATATATTATAGATCCAGTTTCTCCTTGGAGTGTTTGGATACTACTTGCTTCTATTATGAGTGACACTAATAGTAGTGAGTAGATGTTTGCTAAGTCTCAGTAGGAGAAGGGACAGCTGCTGGTGTCCACAGCCCTCGGGGATGCAGTTACTTTGACCTCGGGCCTTACTGCTGGCCTGGCTCTCAGGTCCGTGAGTACATCCACTGACCAGTAGGGCTGAAAAGCCAATTGCTTGTGTAGCATACAGTGGCAGATTTGTCTTTCATCTTCAATGGGGAAGCAAAAATACTTTGAACATTATTATTTAGCCCTCAGTGTAAATAATGTTTTGTAATTTTTACCCCTAAGCAGGTTTTGATAAGAGGAAAGAAATGGCAGCAAACGCAGGGAGTTTGTGGGATTCAGACTATAAGCCTGCTTAGGTGATGTTTATGCCTGAAGTGAGGCCTTTCTGAGATACATGAATGTTTGCCTCAAGTCTACTGGGTGGGTCTGGGTCACAGATTCTATGACTCGCAAACCCTCCCCTGTACGTGTGGGGAGAGAAGTCTGACATTTCTCAAAGGATTAAGATTTGCTTGGTATGGAGTAAAGTGCCATGCGTATTGAGTTTCTTTAGGTAGATTGTTCATCCTTGTCATCTTTTTGCATCCATGGCAAAAGAAGGGCAAGGGAATGGGGGTCGAATGCTTTACCTGTCCCTGAATAGAGGTGAATTTACTGTGAAACAGTGGCTCTTGAACTTCAGAGACCCTCACTTGGATGAGCCCTCAGCAATGTCTTTACAAGGTCGTTGCAAAATTTGCAGAAGACATTTTAATTACAATAAGGTCATTGATTGATTAGAACCACTGTCTTTCCACTCCCACTTCACTTGATGTCAGGTGACCCTGGCGTGTCTGTGGGCACCTTTGGATCCAGCTAAAGAGAAGTTGAGTTTGGGATACATTTGAGTTAGAGGGATATACTTACGGAAGTAATAGCCACTTCTGTATGGAGTTAAGTCGCAGCTGACCTGAGGTAGCAATGGCTTCCAGGAATATTCCTACAGGTTAGTGTGCCAACTGCTCAAGACAGGGCAACAACAAATCAAAACTTTGTGCGCTTTAGGCCATGCAAAACTTGGACCCACTGTCTCACTAGGCATAGTTCTCGGGCCATCTAGAGTCTCTGCAAATGTGTGAAACCTCAACTTGGGCTCCCAAGCTAGAGAATGCTAGCAGAAGATCCTTTGATTCCATTCGATCCTTTGCTTACCCTCCTACCTTACATTCAGTTACTACCCTGTCAACCCCAATAAGAGAAAGAGACCCATTTCAGGAAAGCTTTTTGCTTGATCCTGTGCTAATACTTGGATTACATTTTCATCTGGAACATTTTTCTTGCAAGAAAAAAAAAAGTGCATCAGCACCCTTTTTTCCCCCTCTTGCTTGCTGCATGTCCTTGCTGCTTTTGTAGCTGTGTCTGTAGAGTTAAAAATAGGTATGAGTGGGATGACTTGGCCCTTCGCCTGTGTGAATTCCAAACTTAGCCCTTCCTACAACCACTTATTTGGTTGATTACAAAAAATTACTCATTCAGCCTAGTAGTGTATTTGTTGTTGAGGTTGTTGTTAAAATATATTTTCACTAGAAACAATATTTGTGTTATAATGTAAAAACATTAATAAATGCTGAATAGAAAACAAGTATTCATACCCTCACTGCAAAGTTTTTTATAAATTCTTATTTGTTGTATGTTGTGGAATGTATATTGCAATTTACTTCTTTAAAAATTTTTGACAAAAATGAGTTCATATCCATATTGCTTCACAACTTGCTTTTTTCACCTGTGTATCCCGAATACCTTTTTTGAAAAGACTGTATTTATTTAAAATCTTTTAGAGAGAGGGGAGGGGAGGGAGAAAGAGAGGAAGATAAACATCAATGTGTGGTTGCCTTGCATGTCCCCCACCAGGGTCTTGGCCTACAACCCAGGCATGTACCCTGACTGGGAATCGAACCGGCAACCCTTTGGTTCACAGGCCAGCACTCAACCCACTGAGCCACATCCGCTCGGGTATATCCTGAATATTTTTATCAATTCCTCTTAAGGGCTGGATAGCATTTTTGTTTGTTTGGTGATATGAATTTAGCGAATTCCTTATATTTGGGTTGTTTTCAGGTTTTGTTTTGTTTTTACTACAACAAATGGTGCTGTAATGAGCATCCTTGTTCATGTATCTTTCCATTCCCCCTGTAATATAAATTTCTAGTAGAAATTTAGACTTCCAGGGTCAAAGGATATATACATTGCAAATGCTGATAAAAGTTCCCAAATTGCCCTCTAAATCATTGCCCCGATTTACAGACTCACCCATAGCGTGTGGGAGCGCACATCCCCGCACGCCCATGCCAGCCCAGCGTTACCAAGCGCTTCAATGTCTGTCAGTCTGAAAATGGTAGCCGCAGCGGGTCACTTTAATTTTTATTTAGTATGTTAACTCTCTATTTATTTAGTTATTTATTTTTCCTTCCCCTGCCCCCTCACCTGAGGACACCCTTTCATTGCTTTTAGAGAGGGGCAGGGAGAAAGGAAGGGCGAGAGAAAAACATCGAAGTGAGAGAGAACCATCGGTTGCCTCCCATACTCACCTGGACTGGGGCTCAAACCCACAACCCAGGCCCGTGCCCTGACCAGAAATTGAACCTGCAACCTTTTGGTTGTGGGTTGACACTCCAGCTAACCAAGCCAGACCGGCCAGGGCCATTTATGATTTATTGTACTCTTCTGTGACTAGCCTGCTCATATTCTTTTCCCATTAAAAAATACACACATTGATTTATTTTGTTATTGACTTGCAAGGGTTATTGGGATTCCTTGAGATATTAGCCCTTTGTCCTAGTATGACACTTGACAACAAAACATAACTTGCTATTGCATTTTAAATTCTTAAACTCAAGGGATTCATGAAAAATCCTTTGGAAAACAATCAATTATGCTGTATGTAAATTAATAAAAATAAATGTAGGTATTTCATACAGCTAAAAAATTAAAGGTAGGCATTGATCAAAAACTTATTTGGAAGGCAAGTTTGTTCTTTATCATCCTTCCTCCCTAAGCCAAGGAAGTAACCTAAGTCTCAAGTGAAGTTCCCTCGCCTAGTTTAGAAATTTGTCCTTGTTCTAGAGAATAGTGCGTGACATAATAGTTTTATTTTTTCTTCATTTTACTGCCTGATACTAGGTTCTACATTAATGTACATATCTAGAAAAGTTAGAAATGTTTTTAATATTGTAGGAAACTAGAGTTTTTTGAAGTGTCTTTGAATTTAGCACCTAGATTACATCATGTTGGATGTTTTTCATGTAAACTGTTGTATTATTTTGCGTGAGTTAACTCTTTAGTTGCTCATAATTCTGATACATATTGAGTACAATGAAACAATATTATTCGCTATAAATACTGGGATTGCTAGGAAACAAAAATCTCTGGGTCAGAAGTTGCTAATGACAGGCCACTGGCCATATCTGCCCCACAGATATTCCCTCATAGGTTAGGAACTGTTGGTATTTTGAACTCCAGTTAGCCCTCAGTATTCTTGGACTAGGAAGGGGAGGGTTGGTCCCAGGACCACCCTCCCAGACCCCCATCCCTGAGGTTACCAAAATCCAAGGATGCTCAAGTCTCTTCTGTAAAACGGCATAGTATTTGCATATAACCTGTATTTGCATGCAGGCTACAGTAGGGTATGCCTACACATTTCTTTATTCTCAGAGATTCAGCATAGTGCTGTTGCACAGAACATTCTGGGTACTTTCTTTTTGTGGGGGCAGAGGACAAGCTTGTTTTCTATCCACAGTTGGTTGAATCTGTTGATGCAAAACCCATGGGTATGAAGGGCCAACTATTGCTAATGCTTATGCAGAGGTTTCATTCATATGAAATCCAGATTTCTGTTTTCTTTTAAAAATAAAAATTTTGGCACTAATAGATAATATATATGTTAATAATCTGGAACTCCATAGTGGCTATGTTTAGACAGAGTGCAAGTGGTCTCCGATTTGCCACAGTTCCCGCCACTTTTTAATGCATTACATCGGCCTACTTTACTCAGTTACTTTGTGTAGATTGCTCTTGTTTATTTGTAGGTAAATAAAAATATAAAAAGGTGTGTATGTTAAAAATTTAATTTCTTCATTAATAAATTCATGAAAGCCTCATAAAGCTCCTTTGTTTTATTAGATTTTCTGATACATTCATTTCCTTAAAAAGGTGGTAAGAAATACAGAGACAGTGGAAGCAATAAACATTCAGAGATGTTAACTTTCTTCTTCCCAGCTTTTACCAACAAATCACTCCATTGGCTGGTGAAAAGAGGATGACTGGAAAGTTTATACTTCCTGGAGTTCCACTATCTTACGCTGTAATTTCTTTAGGTCTTTCTGTACTTTATATATCTCTAAATCCATCTTTGTTTGGTGTATTTGTTGGAGGGAGCTGAGAGAGTCATGAATTGATTTAAACCCTGGAAGAAGACATGAGCACACTTAAACAATGCGTTGGAACTTTTGTTTTTTCTACAGAAGCTGTTAATCAGCAGTCCTGCCGTAACTGATCATCTTTTCAAAGCACATTAAATTTTATTAAGACCGGTCTAAAATGTGTAACTATTTCTTGTATGTCATGAAGATGCCTTAGCAATAGTGTCTCAACTTATATCTGGCTTTATTGTGAAAATTTAATTCCTTCCTTTCCTCTCCCCCCAAATATATCGCATACTGGAACGAGTCCATATTTCAAGAGAGAAATTTAAAATAGTTTCTTCTTTCTCTACACTTTTATGAGAGATTTGGATCTCTTTTTTTATTCTAGTCTCCAAATTGAAGGTAAAGGCCTTTCCAATCTCAGATGAGATTTCCAACTTTCTCTAACTTCGCCCTGTTTGAGGGACATAAAGAGTGGCCCCCCTCGCCCCGTGCCCCCGTGCCCCCGTGCTTTGCATCTCTGTGCAAGTCTGGTCACTCAGTCCTCAAGCTCCTTAGGGTACAGCCCATTTCTTGTTCATTAGAGCCTTGCATATGGTCATTTCTCAACACACTTATTAAACGCATAAAGGAGAAGCCATTAATGTGGAGTCCCTGTTCGCTCAATTCCCACTTGATAAAATGCAGAGACATGTAGTTTGCAAATCCCCCTTCAGCTCATGCTATGACTATTACTGGAATGAATAAAATTGAACCTCTGGTAGGTAGTTAAGTAGAAAGCAAGGCTGTAAAAGAAGGGTCAGTTAAGTTTGGAACATGATTCCTGGCCAGATAGTTCATTATTTGATTTGGCAGTGGGAGCTGGGGAGTAGAGGTGCGGAGGGTCAGGTTTCCAGGCAGAGAATTTTATTTATGTGCCAGCAACATCTGGCAGAATGAGACCATGATATTTTTCCAAGACCTTCAAGGCATCTCTATACAAGATCAAAATTAGGTAGAATTCCCATGCATTTTTCTGAGACCTAGGGGACATAAAATAAGTTGGGGCTTTCTCTTGTACAGGAAACTTCTGGTTCCTGGTAATTCCCTTAGAATTGTGACTGGAGGCAAATGGCTGCGCCACAGCACCTATTCCATGTCCTTCACTGTGACAAATTAGATGGGCCTTTCAAATCAATCTCTTTAATGTTAGCTCAGTTTGATATTGCTGCTATTAGCCTCCTTCAGAAGAAAGACAGTCATTACACCAGACTCTGTTAATTCATCTCTCTTACTTCGAAAGGTCAGGTCTCCAGTCAGACATCTGTCTAGGCTCATTATCTGCAAGTTCAGCAATTTAGGCTCCTAGTTTCATGATACACCCACAAGCCACACCTTGATGATCTCCAAGGACTTTCCATGCCTAACAATTCTGAGTTTCTGATCGTAGAGAGTAAAAAAAAAACAACAACAAAACAAAACAAAAAAACAAACAACTCACATCAATGGCAAGCTTGTGATGGTGCTAAGTACGAAGAAAAAAATAAACTTACCTACCTACCTTCCAGTGGTATGCTGAGATTCTGTGAGATAGGAAAATCAGCTTGAATATAAAAGAAGGTTACTAATGACAAAACTGATAACTGGCCATTAGGTCCAAGTAGGAAACAGGGACTGGATAGGCAAGGAGTGATGTTAATTAAAGGCACCTGCTCACCTGATTGATATTCATTCTGCATTTTCTCTAATTCATCCCAGATGTGCTTTTCCAGCTGGCTCATTTTTTTAGACAGTTTATTTTCTATATGCTTTACTTTGCTTAGTTCTGCTTCCTGTTTGTGTGAGTTAACAAAATTCCCTAATTTGCTTGAAAGCTGCAGTAATTTTTCTTCCATTTTATTTTCTGACTTTTCCTATAAAAGAAATCACAATAAAACTCTGCAGATAAGAAAATCTATGTGGAATTGTATTTCAGCTTTGAGAATGTTTTTTAACAAACTCACTTTTCCACGTTAAACATGGGAATTTAAACCAAGTTCCCTTGTACCTAAAACAGTGTTCACAAATATAAGATTCACCTCTTTGTTCAGCCTGGTTCATTTGTAGTTCCTAGAAAGTAAAAGGCTGTGGTCTTGCAGAAACGCCTCAAGGATTTGGAATTTCAGCCTAGCGTTTAAAGAAGAAAGGCATTTAAATTCTGCCTGACCTGAGCTCGTTGGACATGCTCCTAAGTGTCAGAGGCCCTTATTCCCTGCGCTTCGTATCTCGCTGTGGAACAGCTTGAGCTAGAGCAGTGATTCTCCACCGTGCTGTCTATGAGAATCACCTGGACCATATACCACACCCCTGCCAAATTCTGATTTAATTAAAAGGTCTACGATGGAGCTTGGGATTGATCTAGCATAAAAGTGCTCCCAGTGATTCTAATGTGCAGCAACCTGAGGCTAATTAGCTTCTCTGCTCCTCCCCTCTCCCCTCCAGAGAATGTGGGAGCAAGAGCAGGCTAGACTGGCTCGGCCCCTGGGTTCTCCTCTCTAGTCCTGCCTGCCTCAGGAGGGTGAACTCCAGTCTCCCTGTTCCTTGTGGTGTGAGGCTTCTGCCTGCAGGTGATCCTGTGGTCACCTGGAGCAGCCTGCAACAGGTGGAGGTGTCTGCCTGAATCAGGTAAGCAACTAGCAGACCCACTGGGCTGAGATCTGAGCGGTAGCTTTATCAGGGACAAAGCTGTAATGTTTTTGTCCATCTCGTGGGCCATGTTTCTATCAGTTGTTTACAAACTCGGGTAGTACTGGTCTGTCTAAAGCCCCTCTACCAAAGTTCCAGAAACATCTTATTTGAATCACCTGCAAGCCTGGCAGCCACTGAGGACCCTGGTGGCCCGTGCTGCTCTCCTGGGGGCCCAGCAGCTCGGCTGCAGGGCTGGCGGGAGGGAGAAGGGCGCCCTGCACTGCGTCTCCCATGCAGCCTCCTCACGCCAAGGCTGGGGCTTTCTCCACAAGGTCTGACCGGGAAGAGACGTTTTGAAAACCTTGGATCTGCTATCGGATCTCGGGAGCGGTAAAATGGCTTGTCTAAGGCAGAAGTTTTCAGGACTGCTTGTGGCGGAGCATCACCCAGGCAGCTTGCCTAACAGCACGGATTCCCAGCGGAGGCCTTGGGAGGTCTGGCTGATGCCTCAGCTCTGGGCTGGGACAAGGCATCTGTATTTTTAAAAACTCCCCTTTGAATATTCCGGAGGTAAAACATATTCTGAAAAGTGTGGGTTCACAGAGTTGGCGAGTAGCGAACAGGAGCAGAAGACAAGCCTCTAGATTCCTCTCCTGGTGACCACCGACGCCCCTCCCCCCTCCTCCACCCCTGCCTCGCACTCAGTCACTGACACAGCGGAGGTTGCGGTGAACGGCCAAGGGCGACTTCGCAGACCTGACTCACGGCTGAACAGACAGTGGCCGCGCGGTGGTCTACCTCCTGAGTAGCAGAACTCCTTACCAGTTTCTCCTGTAGGCACTTCAGGCACTGATTTATTTGGCCCAGCTGGTCTTTTTCATATTTGATGAACTGGCTTTCGGTCCATTTTTTATTTTTCTCGACTTCCTCATACAGAGTGTTTGAAAGTGAATTAAATCTAAGGGAAAATTGTGTTCTATTTTAATAAGTAAGTTTAAACATAAAACCCTAACTTAGCAATAAAGTACTCAGGGTCCCTGTCCTGAGCTTGTGTTCAGCATAGCTACCGCCAGCGCCCCTCCACACACCCTAAAATCCAGGCACAGGCAGCGACGGGACAGAAACACCTGTCGCCCACGCAGATTTCCTCCCGGAGCCCTGGGCACATGCGTGCGCCTGGAAGAAAGACTTCGCTAAGTCACCTGGGTTGACGAGTATTACTTTACCTAGGGGTTAAAGGGTCACAGGAAATATTTTAGGCTTTGCAGGTCGGTCTCTTTGACAACCACTCGGTGCTGCCCCTGCAGCCTGAAAACAGCCACAGCTGACAGAAATCAGCGTGGCTCATAGTCATAGACAAACAGAAGAGCATGGTTTGGGTCCAATCTAACTTTATATACGCTAAAAGGTAAATTTCATACTCTAGTCACAGGTCATTAAATGTATTTTTTTAATTTAAAATTTATTAGAAAGCGTGAGCAACAGCCTTAGCCGTGGGCAGACTGGCTCAGGGAACCCCTGATCTGCAAGGACCGCTGCGAAGCGAGGAGAGGAGCGGGCCAACGGCCCGGCGTTGTTGAGTTGAGGGGAGAAAACTCAGAGGTAGGACCGAAGAAGGGAGAAGGAAGAGAGCCCCCAAAAGGCTTTGGGGAAGCAGAGCATTCCTTGGTTGTCTTTTCTTTCTCAGGTAAAATCTTCAGTAAAGTCCCCATTGCCACCAACGGGTCTCTGCAAGCGGACTCTTGGAGGGTGGGGTGGGGTGGGGTGGGGGGGAGGCTTAAAGTGGTGCTGAGCTATTCACATGGGCAAACCGGACAGTAATAGGCAAAGGAGGGGCAAGGGACTGCGGGCTTCAAGATGATGCACTGCCCAAGTATTAAATAATAGAGAATGAAGGATTTTTAAAAATGGAAGTGGATGTTATTAAAAGGGGGTGGAATCAAATATCAATTTGAAAAGTCACTGCAGAGTGGTTGAGGGTTTGAGCAGAAAGAGGGATTCCATGACTAAGGGACATGGAACTGGGAAGAGGTAGGGTGAGAGGCGGGGACTGGCGAGTGGTTTCTGCAGGCGCCTTGCTCATGATGAGAGGTCAATTTCAAATTGCCTTTTAGAATGAGCGAAGCATTAGATTGGCAGGAGCAATGCATGTTGACACAGGAAATATTCAGTTTATTTGCCGCTTGAAATAATAGCCGCTTGATTGTTTTTACTAAAAATTGCACACAGGTAATGTAGTTTGTGATATTTATCATTGGAGATTGCTTAAAACAGGTCTGGACAGAAAATATTCCTCTCTGGCTCTCCTGAAAAAGTATTTATTCTAATAATTGGAAAAGAAAAGTTGTGTGAGGCCATAACCATTTTTATGTAGGCCATGAGGCATCTAGCAATGGTATGGAGACATTTTTGGCTGTCACGGCTGAGGGATGCCGCATGCCAGCATGGTGCTGACCATCCTACGGTGCACGGGACAGCCCCCAACAGTACTTATCCAGCTAAAATGCTGATAGTGTGGAGGTTGAGAAACCAGGATTTAGAATATGAAATCAATGAATAGAAAAAGCTAATTTTCCAAAAGTTATGTTAATTGTAGTATTGTAGCTACATTCTGATCGTCACCTCTTTGAATTATAGTTTTGATACACAGAGAGAGAGATTTCACGCAGAGAAAGCACACCATGATTCAGGCGAGTACCTCAACATTGAAGGAGGTGCAATTGGTTATTCCTGTTCTCAGGCTAATGATTTCCAAACACCCACGCTACTGGCTGACAGCTATTAGATTTCAGACAGATAAGCCCCCAACCAAAAGGTGGATATAATTTTAGCCAACTCTTTCCTCTGTCTGGAACTCTTCTCCTTAGAATGTACAATACAATGGTTCCTGCCTTAACTTCATTCAGATTTATAGTCAAGCACCACCTCATCACAGACACTTTTGGACCACACTAAACAAAACAAAACAAAACAAACCAGCAACCCTTTTCCACCTGACACTCTCCATTCCCTTACTCCATTTTTCTCCAAATGCTCATCACCAAATGATATATAATTTGTGTGCTGTCTCCTTCACTGGAGCCTAAGTTTCACAAGGGCAAGGATTTTTCTGTGTTCTTGGCTGTGAACAATGTCTAAAATATAGAAGGTGCTAAGTAAATAGTCACTAAATAAATGAATAAATGAGCCATTTTTTCTCATTCATTACCTTTTATTTGGGCTGTTCACAAAGAAATCATACACTCCCCAAGCTATCGAGATACCTAAACTTCGACTTTCATCTTCCCTTCCCTGTTTCTGGTGAAAATATTAATTAATAGTGATGGTTAAGTGGGGCAGTAAATCTTCAGGTAACAAAGAAGTAGCTTTACAATTGAGAGTCCAGCCTTCATTGCTCACCTTTACTGTGTAAATAAATGAGAGCATTTACTCTAATCACTGATGCAATATTAAAATCCCTCTGAAAACCAATGTGCCCAAGTAATATCCCTGAAGGTCACATCAGTAATTGAAATTCTGAAATTAAAATAAAGCCATAAAGAATGAATTATTACTTATGATCTTTTCATTACAAGGTTTTGCCTGCAATTGGAGGCTCACTTTCCTGGAACTGTCTGAAGGCAGACTCTCTGTTGGTAGTTTATTATAACATCAAAGCATTATTTAAATAGTATTCTCCTTGAAAGATAAAAAGGATAAAGTAAAAGTTTATGTGAATCTTTTTTCTTTCCTTAGACTTTTTCCCCTAACATAATGGACATGACTTACCATGTAAAAACTACTGTTCTATTAATTGTAGAACTTATAGTTCAAATCTCAACAAGATGAATTATCTTGAATGATATTCACATTTTAGTTCCCAAATCCTCCATTGCAATGGTTAAGGGGTATTTCTATTAGATGTAGACAGATATAAAGAAGTAGGTAGATTGATGGGTGGATGGATGGATGGATAAATTTTTCTTTCCTTTTTTTCAAAACACATCAGTCAGACTTTTAAATTATGGTCAGAAATCTCACTAGGATAATGTTGGCTGGGGTTTTTTATCCTGAATTTTTGTACTGGTGGAGTCAGGTTAAAACATACTCCAAGGGCAATTATAAGGGGGGAGTTACAAAAGAGTAAAAAAAATGCAACAGGGATCTATAGACACAGCAGGGCTCAGGACAGAGAGCTGTGCTGAGAGCGAGCGGTGAGGGCAGAGTGTAAGGTTTGGAACAAATGTCTGAGAGGCCACCCTGGTTATGGCTGACACTCATAAATGAGGACATAGGTCCATCATGGGCCAGCTTTAAACCCAGTGTGCATTCAACAATCTGCTCAATTAACTTTTCAAGAAGGTATGAAAACTTTGAATTTTTAAAAGCTGTCACTATTAACAGGCCTTCAAGAATTTAGATGGTAGCTTTAACCAAATGTGAATATAAAAAGATTTAATGCACTTTGATGGCATTAAAAATGAGGATTTTTTTTGCTTCTACATTCTTTTTTTAAAATTAATTTATTTTTCCAAATACACTTGTCTCTGCCTTCCCCCCACCACTTTCCCCTGCCCCCCTCCCCAGATATTTTTATTTTTTGTAATAAAAACTTAAAAAGTAGAGAATAAATCTAAAATTTAAAGTTTCACATCAGAAGCAAAAAATTGATTACCAGAAATATTTGTCTGCTAAATTTATATCTTAAAGTAATTTCTTATTAATGTTCTGTGATTTCTGACTAGTGATACTAATTAAAAAGTTATTCCAACTCTACTCTGCCAGGAAGACTTGCTTCCTGGGCATTCCAAGTTGTACTTGAGCTTAAATGCCAATATCTTCACAGCCTCATAAAATTCTGGTTTCAAGCAGATGTGATCTTTCATTTCTCTAAATTTTTGTACACAATAAGTTTCCTCATAAGGGGAATTATGAGATGGAGGCATCATAGATCAACAAAAATAGCCCGAGATTTGGAGACACTTTCTAACTGTGTGACTGTGTGCATTACTTAATCTCCATAATTATAAGTTTCCTTATCTTTAAAATGGTTGAGGACCACTCTACAGAGTTGGGTGTACTTGAGTAGTTGGAGAACTTAGTGATTGGTAGACATTTATAAATTACAATCTCTATTTTATTTCTGTCTAATGATATATCTCATGTAACATTGTCTTCACTTTTACTTCCCCTGTGTTTAGCTTGTCACTTATTTATGCATTTTCTCCCCAACTGTATGTGGCTATGGTTATGTCTTTGGATAGTCTAAAACCACAACCTACATATTAGAGATGCTCAAAACCGTCAATTAATTCCTTCATTCACTGATTTCTCTTGGTGTCTAAATAAGGGGTGCTGAGGATACAAAGATGAATGAGACCTGTTCTTGCTTGGATAGTTTGTAACTTTCCACTCTGTTAGCATTTTCAAAGTTGTGCAGTAAAATTCAAATCTATGCATTTGCTTCCATGACCAACTCCTGTTTCTTTTCTTATAAATCACTGTCAACTAGACAGCATCAGCTGTAAGAGCCATCGTGGGGAGAGACTGGTAGGTGCTGCCTCTGCAAAACTAGTTCTCAAAGACAGCTGTGTTTCGTGATGGCCCAAACTTGCTCTACAAACACTGAGTTGTCAGCTGAGGCCATTGCTTAGCTCAACACTAAAACCCTCCAGGAAAAGGAGGCTCAGTGCAGGGGTTTGAATGACAGAGCTCCTTTTGTTAGGTCTAGTGATCAGTGCCAAAGCCCCAGGAATTCACTAGCAAACCCTCAGGAAACACTGTGGTTTTTAAGTTCAATATAAAATGTATTTAGTTGACCATTAAATGTGAATTTGTTAAAGCTTCTAAATGGGAAAATGGCTCAATTAAACGTATCCTTTAATGGTATTAAAATGCTCTTAATTCCTTTAATCAGAGACACTTGTTTCTTAAAAAGAAAGGAAAACAAATTCTATATCCATCTACTTTGCTTTGACAAGTGCCCTGATTTGGGGGGCGGGGTGTGGAAAGCCCTATCTGTCTTTCTTTCTCTTTGAGGAAAATAGATTTGCAATACATAGCTCAGTTCAAGGCTACTATCCCTGATGTAAAGGAATCCTATAAATTGATTAAAACTGATGAAAATCATGACACAGACTTTGGTGAATGATAAGAATGGGCAATTCACAGAAAATAAAATTCAAATGGTGAAGGGAATATAAATGAAAACAGGAGGTGCTGTTTTTTCATTCTTTAATTGGCAAATATTAAACAGAGATAAATTCCAGGGTTGGTAAGAATTTTGAGAAAGATTTCTTACACACTGCTGGTGGAAGTATAAATTGCTACATTTTTAGAAAGAAATTTATAAAAATAAATATGTAAATTTTTTGACCTAGGAATCTTGCCTATAGGGATAAAAGCATCTATACCTAAGCTTACCTAAGGATATACACACGATAATTTTTTGTTGGTGTACTGTAACGTAAACTGAAAAGAATATATCAATAAGATAAATGATTGAATTAATGATGGTATATCTGTAAGTTAAAATATTATTCAGATATGAAAAATAATAATCATTTGTCTAGAGAGAGACCCAAGATATACTGGCAAAAGGCAAATTACTGAGTAATGTGTATAGAATTTATTTTTTAAAAAACCCATGCTTTCTCTACACGTATAATGAGTGATTTATATATCTATATGTAATATACATGTTATATTTAAATATGTGTATATATCAATATATGTGCATACATATAAAATGTTGTCTTTCCGTTACATATTTTTATAAACAAGGAGGAAGGTGTAGAAGGATACATGCCCACTGTTAGCATCGGTTACTTTAGGACATGGAAATGGTGTGTCTTAATGTGCACTGTTTTCATCTTTGTTTTATTTTGCTTCTTACAATGAATGCATATTACTTTTTGATTTTAAAATGATGGAGAAAGTTTAAATTAAAGAGTCAGTCATGTAATTCAATGACTCATTAGAGCTCATAAATATTTGCCTGGGGAAAAATCTGGTTTATAAGGTCACTGTGACCTGCTGTAAGACTAATGAAATGTTACAACTTCATTATTTTTGGTGAGAAAAAGATTCAAGTTTATCCTAATACAAAAGTGTTCACGTTCATATTTAACTACTACGATTACTTGTCTGTAAACCAATTTCCCATAGGACTAAAGTTAGAAAAAGTACACAGCATCATTCATAAAACAGTTAGCCCTGGACCTTAAACATTTCCTTTCTCTCTCTTTCCTATTTGTTAATACACTTCATCTCTTGCCAGTCTTCCATGTCGGATTACAAGTCTAATTTCTCCCCCAATAAAATCAATTCTTAAGCTGTACTTCTAGAAACAGTTTACTTTTTTACTTCTCCTTTGGGTATTTTTCTTTTAATTGAAAGCTGAAGGGATTAGATGAAGCACCACAGAGATAATTTATTGAGCACTCTCATTGTGCTAGATATTAAGAACCTAATATGACTTTTAAGAGTATGAATAAAGTGGGTATTTTCTCTTTACTCAAGACTCTATTCCTCTGAGCTTTTGCTATGAGTATTCTCTTTTCCATCCATTCCTAGGACACATTTCCCAATTTAACATCTCTGAAATTGGGAGGTGCATTAAAATGATGGTGTGCTATGCTTTACTAGACAGCTTCATGTCATAGAGGTACAAAAATATATGGTACACCTTAGAGTCAGTGGCAGTTAGATTTCTTGAAATATGGGAGATATGGGGGAAAATGGAGAAAGCACAGTGTTACTAGAATACTAGGTTTGACCAAGGCATTAAATCTAAGTCATGGGGGACAGAGAGGATAAAGAGCAAGGCTAGAAGGGGCCATAAGGCCATATCATTCAAGTCACTAGAAACTCTTTTGCCTGAACTAGAAACCCAGGAAATGGTGGTCATTTAAGCAAGAAAGGAGGATTTGAGGATAAGGAGGCCAGTGATTTGAATATTTGTGGAGTCTTGTCTCCTTTACTGCTTACTTCATTGCATAGGGGCAAAACTCAATGTAGGACGGGGTAGAGACCAGTCTTCAAAAGGGATAATGTAAAGGACCAGGTAGAAGATCTTAGAAAAAAATCCTTAGAAAGCTCTTTAGAAAGTTTTTGTAATCAAAGTTGTTTTAAAAATTACTTGATAATCTTGTGCAATTGATGTGTATTCATTGATGCTTTTATTGAGGAAGCTTAATACACAATCAATGACAAGTTAAAAATTCCTCTATAGGAAAGGTCTGTGAGTATTTCAATTCAGTTGAGATAAAATGCAAAGAGAATAACAGAATTAATATTCATATTTTTCTTTTATTATGAATATTGCAATATTCATGCAATATTCATATTAATATTAGTAGTACTGTAGTGTAGAATATTTTCTATATCACTTTTGTTGCTTTCCTTCTTGACCAGGTTTGTATTCCTGGAATAGGTTTTTATTTAATGCCAATGTTTTTGTTAGGCTAAACCCTTAGGAATGCATTTAACAAAATTAAAAACCTTTCATTCACTTACTTGAACTCCAAAAGATTCATTTCATGGTGATAATCCCCCTGGACCATCTTTAAATTTGAGATTTGTTCAGAATTGGAAGCCTCTATCTTTCCTAAGAGCTGTATTACCTAATGAAAGTAGAAAAAGGAACTTTGTGTGTGTGTGTGAACAGAAGCACTAGCAGTTACATTAGTTATCCTTTATTCCTAAAGGAGCTAGGAAACAGACTTGAGTCTAAAACACATTTTTATTTGAAAATGATTTTTCTTCTGAAGGAATGTTTCAGTAGTTACAGGGAAAGAATAATAGAGGAGTATTTGATTCTGCTGTCTGTAATATTCTCTTGATAATAGGCTATATAACAGTACCACAAAAACATACTATTGACATTAGTTTGTTTATCAATTTATTAATTTGATTATTTCCTTAATTTGTCTTCCCAGTTACAATGTAAACGACTGTATTCTTTATCACCACTATAACCTCAGTGCACATGAGATGGTTAACGGTAAATATTCACCGAATACTTATTGAACCAGTGTTGAAACATACAATTAACGTCTGACAAAAACACACTTGAGGGGCCTGAGATGAGGCCTCTCAGGAATTTCCAGGTAGGATTCTGACATGAGCACAAATAAATCCCAAGTGAAATGACTTAGGGATATAAAGCCAGGGAGAAGCGAGTTCTAGTCCTAGAAGCGGGGCTAGGAGTGTCGTCCACAGCACAGAAACACTGAGGATGTTACTTTAGGTAAAAGGACCAGATTGGAAAAATGGAGGCAGAGTCGAGCACATAATCATGCCGAAACAAATCACTGTCAAGGGAAATGAAACTACATGATTGACTTTGGCTAAACAGACTTCGGCTCCAAAACAGATGGTCATGTGGAAGAGAGTAGGCACTTTACAAAGAATCAGAGTTCTCTTAGAAAAGAAAGAGGTGAATAATGGAAGGGTTTGAATAGATAAATATTGGGTGAGCAACGAATAGCACATGAAAGACTCTTTATAGGAGATACATTTAAAACAGGCTATTGATAGGAGGCACACTTAAAGGCAGGACTGTTTTAATAGTAAAATAATAAGTAAATACATGCCTGGCAAAAGCAAAGAAAAAGAACGCAGGCAGAGCAATACTGTTAGATAAAATATTTTTCAAGGCCGAGTTTGTTAAACCGTGAAAGATGGTCATTTTTATAGATTAAAAATACAATCCACAGTGAAAAACAGAGTTTTGAACCTATATTTACCTTATATATTGAACTAAAAAGAAACAGCTAAAGAATTACAAGGATAAACTAATAGAAATGATATATTAGTGGTTTTATAAATATATATATATATATATTTTTTTCTTTAGTGAGAGGGTAAAGGAGGAAGACAGGGAATGAAACTAGATGTATGAGAGATACGTCAGTCGGTTGCCTCTAGCATGCCACCAACTGGGGACCTGGCCTGCAACCCAGGCATGTGCCCTGACTGGGAATTGAACTGGCAGCCTTTCGGGTTGCAGGCCAGCACTCAACCCACTAGCTGCACCAGCCAGGGCCTGAGATATTAATGATTTTAAGTGGCTTTTCTTGACCCTTTACTGGTCAAATAAGTAAAATATAAATAAGGATATAGAAAGATATGAAAATATAAAATTTATTTAATAGATTTGTATACCAATCTAACTTGCAAACAGCAAACATTTATTCTTTCCCATTGCCCACCAAGCATTTGCAGTGACTAAGTGCATGTGACTGTAAAGAAAGTCTCAAATTATTCCAAAAGCAGAAAAAGCACAGACCATAACTCTAACTCCACTGCACTAACACTAGAAATTAGTAAGAAAAGTATAAAGCAAAAAGATAATCATTTGAGTAATTGTATCATTTAATTCCAGTGTTTCATGTGAAAACGTGCCTCTCAGACCTCCTACTACAAGGAGCATAACTGGCCAAGGGCCTTGACTGCCGAACCTGAAACTCATCACCCCGTGTCAGAGCCACGCTTCCCCCTGGCTGCTCCCAGCCTCTGCCTGAGTAGCATCCCTCTCATGAGTGACTGCGGCTCAGGGAACTTCATGAAACTTTGTTAGCATCGCATGGCAGTCTAAGACCTTCTTTCTCCGCCCTTTTCACAGGAATCAGACCTGTATTGCATGCAGTCTGATGGTTCTCTGTATCTCTTCCACCTGTCTCCCCATTTTTCATCAGTTTTTTCTCTCTCAATAAATCTCTTGCACATCTAATTTCTTAATGGCATTTACTTCTAACAGCACTAACACAAGTGTCAAAGAATAAATCAACTCTGCAGCTGGAATTTACTTAGGAAAGACTAATGAGAACATTACGTATCAAAAGGATACGACACATCTATAGAGATCAATTTGTGGCATTAAATGTTTCCATAATTATACAAGGCTGAATGAAGCTATATAAACTAATTATTAATTTCACAAAATTAAAAAGAGAATAATAAATCTAACCAAAGGAAAGCAGGATAAAGAAATGGACAAATTAAGGTAGGCAGAATGGCTCCACAGAGACATCCATACCCTCATCTGTGGCACCTGTGAATATGTTGCTAGATGGCCACAGGGATTTGCAGCTGTTATTATGGTTACAAACCTTAAAAGAGGGAGATTATACTATTTTATTTAAGTGGCCCAACCTAATCACAGGAGCCTCTAAAAGCTGGAGTCAGAGAGGTTTGAGGTATGAGGTGAACTTGGTTTGTTGTTGGAGAGAGGTCCCATTGAAAATGCAGGAAGGAAGGCAGGTAGCTGGAGGAAGATCAGTCCCCAACTGACAGCCAGTAAGGACCCCAGTCCTATGACTGCAAGAAACTGAATTTGGCCAAAAACTTATGAATGAGCCTAGAAGAGGATTCATCCCAGCCCCTTCTCCAAAGGAACACAGCCCTGCTGACCCCTCAGTTTCAGCCTGTGAGGCCCTCAGCAGAGCACCCAGGCTGGCCATCCTGGACTTCTCACAAAAACCGAGATAATATATTTGTTTTGTTATAAACCACTAGGTATGAGGTGATTTGTTATGGCAACAATATAAGACTAATGTACAAACATTAAAAAATTAAGGAACAAAAAATATGAGATTATTATGTAAATTCAAGGGATGTTTCTTTGAAAAGGTAACAAGCAAAGTTTGTCCTGCTCTAAACATTAAGAAAAAAGAAAACATAACCATTAAGATTAGAGACAAAAAAATATGGAGTAATTATAAATATATGAGATTCAAACAACATAGCAAAAACATTCACAAAACTGAAATTATAGATGAAATGGAAACTCAATAATTATGAGACTTCAACTCACCTTCCTCAGTTCAAAACAGGAGACCAAAAAATAAGGATAAGAAGATTTAAACAATAAGCTATTTTTTAATAGATTTAACTGAACTTCGTACCCCCCAAAATACTGAATATGCATTCTTTTATAGCATGTACAAAATTTCACTCTCCAGCCACAAAAAAACCCTCAAAATATTCCAAAAACTAAAGCCAGTATATACAATAAATTTTAATTACAATGAAATAAAATTAAAAATGAATACTAGTATAACAAAGCATAAAATTCTTAGGGAAAGAAACAACAACAATATCTCCTCTTAGCTAATAAATCGAAAAAAATAGAATATGCAGTTGCAAAATCCCAGGAATGAGAACATTACATGTCAAACCCCAGGGGATATTGAAATAAATGAATACTCATGGAAAAATTCACAATCATAAATGATTATATCATTAAAGAATAAAGAACAGAAATAAAATACAGTACAAAAGAAAATGAACATCAATACAACCTGTAGGAAAGGAAAAAATTAGTAAAGCTTAAACTGGTGGAATGGAAAACAGAATGAAAGCAGAATTAAATACATTAAAAGACTGGCTCATTGGAGAACAATCAACATAATTGTTAAGGGACAACTAACCTAACTAATTAAGAAAAAAAAAAAAGCATAAGTTAAATGATAAAATGGCAAGGGGAAAAGATAAAAGCAGAAAGGATTAAAACAATCCTAATAGTATTTTGTACAACTTAATGCCAATATATTTCAAAATCTGAGTGAGATAAATATATTTTTTCAAGAAAAGTAATTTACTAAAGTTGACCCTTGAAGAGATAGAATGTGTACAGTTTAATTTTCATAGAAAAAAAAATTGAGTGATGATATTAAAGGACTCCCTTTTTTACCAGAACAACAGGCCCAGATGTTTCAGAGTCGAAGCTACCAAATCATTAATGGTTGGAAAATTATAATGCTTTTTAAATTGTTTTAAAGCATACAAAAAGAAGAGAAACTTCAAAATTATTTTTATAAAGTAAGTGCAACATTAATTTTAAAAATCTGAAAATATTGAACAAAACCCCTAGAGACTAGTTTCATTTATAAGTATTGATCAACATTTTTTTTTTCCACAGAGGACACATCACAGTCTCAAAATAACCTTTCAGCATCAGTATCAACAGGATATTTTTAGTAATTTTTTCAAATCAAAAGTTCTCTAAGAAAGGGATGGTATTTGAAAACTGACCATACAGATCATTCTTTCTTAAGCAAATATGATCAACATTTTAAAATATCAGCAAACAGTATCCTATAGCAGAACAAAAATATAATCAAATGCAATTTATTTAAAAAAATTAAAGATGGTTTAATAATAAGAAATACATTAATGTAAATAATTACACTAGTAAAACTGAGGAGAAAAGTAATATGATTACCTTGACAAATGCTGAAAAGACATTTGACAACATAACATTTTATTTTTTAAAAAAGCTCAATATAACAGGAAAATTTGTGTATTAAACATGTTTATTCAGAAAACTTCCACATCATAAGGGAAACAGTGGGAGCATTTCTGTTAAAATCAGGAACAAAGCAGAATGCCCACCATCCCTGCTCTACTATTTAATATTACACTGGAGTTACTATTAAAAGCAGTTAGGAAAGGGAGAAGAATTAGTTGTATGAAAATAGAAAAATATGAGTTAAAATTATTTAAAAATCATATGATTGTGTACCTGGAGAACAAACAACTGAAAAATACTACCATCAAGAAGAGATTTCACTGAGTTAGTGGAGTATGAAGTTAATACAGCCTTCCTAATGTACAACCAACAACCAGTCAGAAGACATAATGAAACACCCATTATAATAAACTAAAGAAATAGACAGAATCTTGAAATATATTTAAGAAAAAATGTTGCCAAACCATATGAGGAAAATTTGAACCCCCTCTTGAAGTATATAAAAGCAGACCTTGAACAAATGGGAAATACTGTTTGTAGATAGACATTCACGATTTCACCATTATGACTATGTCAATGCTAAAGTTAAATTATAAATTTATGGTGACTTCAGTAAAAATTAAAGCAGAGTTTATTTATTGGTTTATTTGATGGAATTAGGTTGATTTTAAAATCATATGCAAAAACAATTATCACCAGGAAAAGGGAAAAAAGAAAACCATGGAAGGGACTAGCCTTACCAGGTATTAAAAATATTACAAGGTTTCAATAATAAAAATAATAAGTAAGACACATGCTATACTAGGAAAAACTCTAAGTGGATCAAGTATTTAAATGTAAACAGTAAAGCACTGAAAATGCTAGAAGAAAATAGGAACAATTCTTTCAAGTCTGTGTGTGGAAAAGCTCTTCCGAACTGTGTCTTAAAATTCCAGAAGGCACAATAGAAGACACTGATAAAATCAGCTACAAATAGGGAACATATGCACATCAAAAGACAAATGATAAACTGGGAAAATGTATTTGCACCTCATATCATGAAGGGCTCCTAGAAATTGAGAAGAAAAAAATAGGCCAATAGAGAAACAGATAAAAGCCATGAACAGACAGCTCACTGAAAAGGAAAAAACAAAAAACAAAAAAACCCCCTCAAACTAAATAGCTCTTAAATATATGCAAAGATACTCAATCCCATTCATAATAAGAAAGGCTAATTAAAACACAGAGCTGTTGTCTTTTTGCTATAAGAATGGCAAGATTTAAAAGTTGAACAATACTTATTGGTGAGACATTGAGAATATAGGACATTTTACTTATTGCTGGTGGGTATGCAATATGGTAAAAGTCCTGCAGAGAACAAGATCTTTCAAAGTAACAAACACATGTACCTTTGACCCAGCAATCCCCCTTCTGACATCTCTCCTGCAGGCATACCTACATATGCACCAAGTGCCGTGAGTGCAAGGTTATACACTGAAGCATTGTTTGAAAGACAATTGATTGAACTGACAGTGTTCATGGCACTTACACATAAGCTGTCATATTAAAACCCCTTGGAAGGAAAGAGTTCTCTTGAATAGATACCATTTGGCTGGGCATATTGATAAGCTATAATAATCTTTGGGCAGTAACACGTAATATGAATTCTATCAATTTTCAGTTACCTTCATATCCAAGTTCTTAGAAACAGTTTCTAGGGAAGACATGAGTTCTTGAATTGTTTTTTCAATTTGTCGGTACTCATGCCTGATGAAATGAATGTCTCCAGAAAGCTTCACAATGCTGGAATCACATCTAGTGGCAAGATGGAAATTGGATGTGAGATCAACAGGCTCAAAACATTTTTAATCCTGCGGTAGGATCTGTGCATTCATTTGATGGCAAATGTTCTAAAGTTTTTTAAATAATGAGTTGGTAGATGTAGGAGCAGACACAGGATTCTCCTTCATTTTCCTCTTCTTGCTGGGAGAAAAACCATATTGGATAAAAAACACTCTGGCCCAAACCAGAGAACTAAGTTGGACTAGGTAAAGACATTGGGGAAAATAGGGAGAAAATTTTAGATTTTCGGCCTAATACATTAACTCAGTCATAGCAGTTCCAACAGGTTTTGGTTTTTGAGAATATTCCCTGCTGCCTATGGTTAGGCAAAATTGAAAATTTTTCCTCTTCTGTATCACATTCTGGATCCCCTTTCCTCCCATTCACTTCTTCCCTTGGCTCCCAGATTCTCAATTCTCCTTTGGCTAGTGAAGTGTCCAGACCCACCTAAATCTTCCAATCCACTTTCAAAACAAAACTTCCCTCCTTTTAATCCCCATCAAAACTCCTGCTCCTGGAGTGGTCTCAGTCAAATACTGTCTTGAATTAGGACAACAACTCACACTAACATATGACTGAAACTTTGGCCCATAACATTGCATTTGGTATTTTAAGGAAGGGACTGTCGTGAAATGGGGTTGGAGTTGAAGATTAACTATCTTCCCAGCATGCCCGGGAACCCCACCCCATACCCTCTCTCACGGCCTCTTTTGGGAGAGAGCAGGCCGCACGCTGCATGGACCATCAGTTTCAGTACCCTCACACATGCGTGAAAGACAGCGTGGAGAGTGCTGCCTGGGCTGTGTCTTTTGTATACAAGCTATCAGAGATTGTTTGGAAGTTTGTCATTTCATGAAGTAACTGTTTTGACTGTCATCACATAAGATGTATTAGGAATCACGTTTTTCATGTTATCATGCTAAGTGCTATGAAGACTGTTTATTTTATGACTGTTAATATTTTTTAGGATCCAGAAATAGGATCCTAAAGATTTTTAAGATTTTTGATGCCAATGTTGAGCCAAAGGTAAGATGGTGATTTTGCCTGAGCTGTCCCTTAAAGAGATCCCAGGGGACTGTGGTTAGGGGGTGAGGAGACTGCTGGGGAAAAAAACAAACTAGGAATTGATCTAATCAAAAGGGAGCTGGATGGTATGCACCAAAGTCATGGGCAAAAGCCATTCCACCCATTTGTATATGTAAAATGTTATTGTCAGAAAAACCTCCATTGTTGGTTAGTTAGAATATCCTTATGTGAGTCCACATTAAGACCTCCAAAGACTACACAGGAGCAGTTGCTGCTACCACTTCCTGACACCTTCTCCCAACCCCCCACCTTGATCCCTACCCTCTGGGACAGCGGGTCTGTGCATTGTGGGCCAATGGTTAAACATTTGGTCTCTGGTGTCAGATAGACCAGGCTTTGCAACTGGCTTCTGCTGCTTCCTAGATTTGTGATCTGGCACAAGTTTTTTAACCTCTGTGAGAGGATAATGATGCTAAGGTCACTGCATGTAAGTGCACAGTTTATTTGTCCACCCGGTAACTACAGTGGCTGCCAGACACAGGCAACGACATGAATAGTGTCTCTTGGAGAACTGCGAGCCCAACCTTCCAACCTAACTAGCTGTCCTGAATAACATAGGTAATGAGTATTTAGTCAGTACCTGGCACAGAGAAAGTGCCAATGCAAGATCAGCAGTTATTATTTATTTATTTAACTTGGAAGTTGCTGGCCAATTCATTTTCACCTCTGGACCAACCCAGCCTCCTCATCCCGCATGCTGAAGTCAAGGGTTAGGGGTTTTCCAAAGCTCACACTCTATATTTCAAAAGGAAGTTTCTCCTTTTCTCCTTCTGTGGAGTAATTTTATTGTTTCTTTTAAATTAGAATGTGTTCATTATAAAAAATTTCATATAATACAAAAGGAAAAAAACAAAGAGGAGAGTTAATGTCATCCCAAATCCCATTTTTCAGAAATAGTCATTGTTAATATTTGGCTATCATTCCATATATATTTACACGCACACACACAGAGACATATACATACACGTATACACATATGATGACATGGATGGAAGTTAGAAATACTATAAAAATAATTTTAGAATATTTGTACTGTTATATACTCCAATTTTCTTTAAAATGTAATATTGAATTTTAATTTCATTTAGCCTAAGGAAAGGTACCTGTAGTGAAAAGTGAACAAAGTTGCTGACCTTAGGATTTTTATATATATTACATATATATAGACATATATATATTTCTTCACTATGAGGGATATTTGTTTCTAAAAAAATGTGATAAAGAACTATCACACAATGGAATGAGACTTTTTATACCTACCATTTTCAACTTTAGACATTATTTATTGACCATATGCCAAAAATGGAGAAAATAAGTTTATATACTTGTTTTTAAAAAGGTTTTTTTCATATTCTGCTATTTTGAAAATGTCAAGTTATATGACATTTACACTGTGTTCTGTAGCTAGATTTCCCACTGTTATTCAATCTTCACTCTACATTTAGATTCTGTGTTCATTGGCAGTCCTTTTAAACCATGCTTTCCTTCCTGATAACCTTATTTCAGTGTATTCCTTGGTTGGTCAGCTTTTGCCACCCCGATTGCAAGAGAAGGCCTTAGGAATGTTGGAATCTTTTCAGTTCTTGAGTGATTGGGAATGAATGCCTGTCAGTCCTCTAACACCTGAAAGGTGACTCAGTTAAGATAACATCATGGGGTCACCTCTTCTTCTGTTCAGAATGTGATCGGTGGAGCTCCATCCTTTTCTGGCACTGGGTTAAGGTGGAGAAATCTGACGTGACTGAATTTTTTCCTTGTTTCATGTGATCTGCTTTGTCTACCTAAATGTCTAATGATTTTTTTTCTTGATGTTCAGTAACTTCAACCAGGATATCTTGGTTTAATTGTTCTTATATTAATTTTTCTCAGGTTGCCAGGGTTTTTGTTTGTTTTGAGCTACAAATTCAAATCTCTTATAACCTTGAGTATTTTCCTTTTGAAGAATTTGTTCTGCTTTTTCAGGAGCTCCTATTATTGGTCTATGTTGAATAAGTTTTACTTGTCTGTCATATACATTACTTCTCTATAAGCATTTTTATATTGAAAAGCATTTTCATTTTACTTTGTATGGCTTGCTCACAATTTTTTTAAAAAACAGCTATTACCTTTAGTTGTATTTATTCTATTTGGGGAGCTTCTAAAGCATTCATAAATTTAACCTATGTAATATTTTAATTTTTTCTTTTAACTTATCCTTGAGTGATTCATTTACCTATTTCCTTTTGTTGTCTGATAATCTCTTTTTGGGTGAAAGCCTTTTATCTAATATTTTTATCAAAATAAATATGTCTATAGTTTAAAAGTTAACAATAACTAAAGGCTAATAAAAATAGAGGCTCCTTGCTCTGCCTCTTAATTCTTCTCCCTAGAGGCAAGGGCCCACCTTTATACATAGTTTCAGAGATTCCTGGTACAGCCAACTCCTAAGCCTGTTGAGAGTTCTGTGATGTGAAAGTAAGTCATTTTCAGCTTATTTCCCAACTTTAAAATTGGTTTTATTTTGTCAGTAAGTCAGTCACCACACGTCCATCTGTTTTCTAGGTTCCAAGATTTCTGTGCTGATATCCCCAGTCTTTGTGGGTTGATGTTTTAAAGAGAAAATCTGTTTACTATAGATTTGGTGGGGTTTTTGGAAGAAGCAAAATTATATGTAACTGTTAAATCAGCAATTTTTTATGTTTTTTTAATCTTAATTTCTTTAAAACCAGAAGAACCTTTGATTTGAACTCTTCTTGTGTTTTTCTGGGTAATGCCTCTCATAAGGTATATTCATTAGCCTTACATTTTTATCAGTTTTTATATCTGTCTATCCATCCATCCATCCACCCCTCCATCCTTCCATCCATAGATGACGGTGATGATATTGGTGATTTTTATGCACAGGCTAGATTCTTCCTAACTACCACACTTACTTCTTTTAGTGATTCTGGCTATTTGCAGATTGGTGAGTATGTTCTTGATAGAGAGTAAATCATATCCTTTACTCAGGCTCGTCTGAGTCAAAATCTATGGTTACCTTAGGTGGGTGATAGTGAGGCACACCTTCCCATTTTTCCTGAAAAACCAGATTGTGTATCTCACGGCAAATCATTCTCAGTTGTGACACTCTTGCCTCCTCTCCTTCCTCATCCTGTTGCACTTCAGCCAGTTTCTCTCATGTATGACCTGGCAAGGAGGGATGTCCTAGGTGATAAATAACATGCTTACATCTTCAGCTACGCCTCCCCAGCTTTCTGTGCTGCTGACCCAGATCTCTATAGGGTCTCTTATCTTTCCTGTGACCCAATCAATCCCCCAGGTAGTAGTGCTCTATTCAGATTATTTGGCCTACACTTTTCAGGATCATGACTCTTGTTTGGAGGAAATCATTATGTTTAATATCACAGCATTTGGTAAGTGTGCTCTGCTTGGGGCCATCAGTTGTGGCAACACCTATGTTATATTAAATATGTATTACATTTGTCTTCCTTTTTATTTTTAACTGGCATTAAGACATCTCAAGTGAGAAGAGATGAGTAAAAGTGTCTTTATTCTACTGTCTTTCACCAAAAGTCCCTGCTCTTTATGTTTTAAAAATTGACAATATTCATAATGCCATTATTGTTTCTTCAGAGGAGGTGACTTTTGCTTTTAACCACCCTCAACACAATTTGCCATTTTTTTCACAAGCAGGTCTGTCCCGGGGTCCCCAGTAGCCAAAGGTGGCGAGAGGGTTGGTCTCCTCTGGCTGCTGCTGCAGAGTGCAAGTCAGAGCCCTCCCTCCGGGTGCCCTTTACACGCTCACCTTCTTTCTCCTTTTCGCAGGAAGGCTAATCTATCCAATAGAGGAGGGGGTGTCAGAAGCAGGCCAGACAACTCAGAGCACCTCATCTCATGGGAAGTAGTTGCTTTTAAACTGCCACTATTTTGGGATAGAGAATGTGGTGCAAAATTCAAGGCGCATTGCTGTTACCAAGTATTGAGTTTGATTTATGAAGCAGTGACATGTTTTCTAAGAATTATGTTAAAGTAATTTACTTTTACTTATGCCAAAATGATCATTGAAATGGAGGTCAATATATGTGGAAAGAGTGACTAATCTGCCTCCGCTTGTCTACTAGTCAATTGCCTGGCAAAAGTACAGAAAAGAAATAGGAGAGGAAAGGTGAATTTAATTAAGTCTTATGGCTTATAGTGAGATTCTGGTGCAGATTACCAAATAGACTGAAGAAATTTTCATAAAAGAAAGACATTTCAAGGAAAAATAAGACCTTGTCTTTGCACCACTGCTTAAGATTGAGGGGGAAGGTAAGTAAGCAATTGGAGAGGAAGGTGAAGGAATAGGATGCACTTGATTTTCACTCTTTCCTCAGACACACCAAATAAATAGCTGTATGTGGATCAATTGCCTCTGAAGAAAAATATAGAAACCAGTTTAGAAGCTCTTACACATGGAGCAAAGAAGGAAATGCCTACACCAAAATGGGTAGGAAAAGCTGAGACACACTAACGCCATAAACCTCACCTGGTGCAGGGCCTTGCAATTGGGAGGGAACCCCCAGATCCTGGCTTCTTCCTGAGGAGTGTAGGGTTTGAACCACACGTCGGGCACTCAAACTTTTACAGTTGCTGCCGGACGACTGGCTCCCAGTTCACCTATCTCTGAGAGCTGATGGGTGCATGTGTGAGTTTGTGGGGCCACAGGAAACAAAGGGGTGGTTTCAAATGGCCACAGGATTAAAAAATGGGCAAAGGGCCTGAATGGGCATTTGTCCAAAGACAACATACAAATTGCCAACAGGTGCATGAAAAGATACTCAACATCGCTAATTGGAAGGGGAATGAAAATCAAAATGGTAAGATATTACCTCACACCTGTTAGGATGGCTATTATCAAAAAATAAAAGGTAAGCCTTGGAGAGTATGTGGAGGAAAGGGAACCTTTGTACACAGTGTGCAGGAATATAAATCAGTGCAGCCATTATAGAAAATGGTATGGAGGTTCTTCAAAAAACTAAAAATAGGTAACATCCAACAATTCCTCGTCTGAATATATCCCCAAAGGAAATGAAGTCAGTACCTGGAAGAAATATCTGTCCTCCCATATCCATTGCAGCAATATTCACAATAGTCAAGTTATGGAAACAACCTAAGTGTCTGTTGATGGATGAATTGATAAAGAAATTGAGGTATACATACACACAGAGGAATATTTTTCAGCCTCAAAAAAGAATGAGGTATCACCACTTGAGACAACATGTATTAACCTGTGGCGTTATCATAAGTAAAATATGCTAGACACAGAAAGACAAAAACTGCATGATCTTATTTATATATGGAATCTAAAGAATTCAAATACATAGAAGCAGAGAGTGGAACAGTGGTTATCAGGGGTGAAGAGGTAGGAAAAATGGGAAGGTGTTGGGCAAAGGGCACAAAGTTGCAGTTATGTAAGGTACAAAAGTCTAGAGATCCAATGTACAGTATAATGACTATATTTAATACTGTATTGAAGAATTAAAATGTGCTAAGAGTAAATTTCAGGGGCTCTATTCACACACACAAAGGGTAACTATGTGAGGAGAAGATATGTTAATTAGTTTGACTGTACTATTCATTTTATGTTGTAAATCTATATCAAATCATAGATTTCACACCTTAAATATATACAATTTTTACTTAAAAAGAGGAAAAATGAAGAAAAAAGAACTGGAGCACAACAAAGGGAGTTGCATGTGGTTTCCTTGATAGTATTTCATTCATCTCTTGGTTTTATTTAAATCTGGTTGTTATTTTGCCTTGTATATAAGACAGAATTTACAAGAATAAAACAACAGGCTTGTAAGCATATCATTTGCAGAAAGAAAGAAATGGAGTGTCATCAGAACACCATCAATTGAATCAAATTGTAAGTTGCATTCAGAACAGATGTTTGCTGTTTATCTTCTTTGCAAAATTACAGCACATCTAAGTAGGGTGTTAGTGTTTGTTTTATTATTTTGCTTCATAACTTACATAAATACATAATTCTTTGTATCAGATATTATATACAATTTTGTAGGAATTTAATATATCCTAGAAATATAAAAATATATTTATACATAATATACTGAATTATATACAAGTATATCTATGAATGTGTGTGTGAACATACAGGTATTAATCTGGTAAATTCTGTTTCCCTAATGTCTGTGTTGTGTTTTGTCTTCTCTGAACTCTCATGGCCAGCGCTTAGCGTAGATCCTTGACATTTCTTACCTTTTTGCTATAGACTTCCTTTCATCTTCATGCCTTCTTCCCATTGCCTACCAGTTCAGTTACTACTAGAATGTCACTAAATATGATGTGCCATCCATTTACTTAAAATCTTCCCATGGCTATTTATAACCTTCTACATAACGTTCAAAGTCTTTGCCTTGGCCCACAAGATCCTTCATCACCTAACTCTGGACCACTTCTCTAGCTTTATCTCCCAATCTTCTATCTCTTCCTAAATGCAAATCCCAGAATATCAGAACTAAAATATTCTTCCCACTGGTAAGCCCTTGAACATGTCACAATAATTCATCCTTAGTTCTTTTGAACATGTTATTCCTTCTATGTGAAATACGTTTCCCACGCTTTCCTGTCTAGCTAACTGCTATATAAATTGTTCAAGACTCATCTCAAGTGTTAACCTGCTTCAGAAAGCCTCCCCTAAGCCCCAATCTGTTTGGGATATTCTCACAGCACACAGGCTTTCATTCAAGTGCTCACCTCATTACTTATATTTGTGGCTTTATTTTTTCAGGTAGACAGTAAACAACCATAGGGAAGGGGACTGTGTTGCTGAATCCCTGAATCCTAGCACACTGCCTGGCATGTAAAGTGCTTACTATTGGGTTGGCCAAAAAGTCCATATTTTTTTTTTCTGTAAAATAAAAGACACATTTTTCATTTTCACCAATAACTTCATTGATCTGGATATTTTGAGTATGTCAGCTATCCTGCTATTGGCTTCTAGTGAATGGGTAGAGGCCAGAGGTGCTGCTAAAAATCTTCCAGTGCATAAGACAGCCCCATGGCGAAGAATTATTTGGCTAAAATGTCAATAGTACCAAGAACCTTTGCAAACCACTTTTGACATGTTCAATCAGTCACAACACCTTCTCCATATATTGCACACATTTTTTTTTATATTTCAGTTGCATTTTTACCTTTCTTGGAATAATAAAGCATGATATGCTGAAAATATTGTGTATTTTCTTCCATCTTCAATATTAAAATGCCTGCACAAAAATTCACCAATTTTGATACTTTTTTTTTAAATGCACGCTGATATGACAGCTGTCACAATACAATCTAACAAAATTGTTTCAAATGAATTAAAAGACAGTTAAGCACTACTAGAACCATTGTTTGGAAAAAATGTAATGGGCTTTTTGGCCAACCCAATATATTTTTGTTGATTCGGATGGAGAAGTTTGCCTTAGGTGTTAATCACCTAATTCTATTTGGTCATTTATACTTCAGAGTGATTAACAGGATGGGAGGAAGGGTAATCCAGGAGTCAGGAAAGAGGTGCTGGAAGTTGGAGAGATGGGAATGTGTTCAAGGTCTGCCATTCACAAGTCACCTGTGATGTTTCTACCAGAGTGGCCCTGTTATTGTCAGTACCTACAGATGGTCACTGAATTGTATACCATTAGTTCTTTTGATTTATAAATCTCTTACATAAGATGCTATTCAAAATTTTATCCAATGGCAGTAGGTCCATTTCATTAAACTTTTACGTGTAATTCTTCTATATTTTAAATGTTTAATCAGAATTTGATACCCCTGGACATTTTATGTGTGATTATTAGGATACGTCTCTGCATGGATGCTGGCATTTGGACAACTGAGGGCTGTAAAGACAAGACTTGTGCCGCATATGGATGGAACTGGACATTATGTATATGTGGCATTTATAGGAACCTTGGATCTCACAGGTAACCTGAGGTTTTCAAATTCCGTGACATATTTTTACAACTACCATGTCATCAGTTTAGCTTAATGTGAAGACAGTATCTTGTCTGGAATTTGTTTGGAACAATATGGAACTTATTTGGGAATGAGAATTCAGTGGCCAAGAACTGACTGCTAAACATTAGTTAATAGGCTGCTTCTCACCTGGCTACTCTTCCTCGAAGATCTCCAACTCCTTGAAGGTGTTTGGTGTTTAGCTCCTGCACTGCAAAATTAGTTCCTGTGGCCGCCTGGTCTCGAATTCTTATTTGGTCTTCTAAAATCTGTAATTTTGAGTTAGAATTCCTATTAATTTCTCTTCACATATGATAAGAAAGTATTATATAAAGCAGAGGTTAAAAAACTGAATGCATTTCCAAGTTGAGCTAATAGTGTAACTGAGTGGTAGGAGAGTCTGATGTCAGAGAGGAGTGCTCCTGTGTGTCCCGGAGAGGCAGCGATGGCTGGGCTCCAGCTGATCGTTGCCAGGTGGGAACAATGGTTTCACAGGGTTTGAACAGAAGCCAGAAACCCAGACTTCATGTTAAATCTCTCTGTGTTTAAATATTGACATATTACTCAAAAGCTTTCCTTAGTCATGTCTTCATTATGTCTTGATGTTCTGAAATAGAGCTGACTGACCTATACCACCAGACTTGGTGGTCCCAAGAACAGTAGTTTTAAATTTTTTTACACTCATAATATAAATAATAATAATTAAAAAAATTTTTGTCCACACAAAAAATTATATCTTACTTGACATTCAAAAAAATTCCAACATAATGTCAGGTCACATAAAAAATAATTTATATTTACTTAGAAAACAGTGAGAGTATGGGACTTTGGAAAACACACATTTGTGTTATGGAAAAACCTTCAGGTTTAGTTGCCATATATGACCAAGGCCTGAACTATATTTCAACTTATGTTTATAAATTTTCTGAGGAAAAGAATTTTTGTAGCTAATAGTCTACAGAAATTTCAAAGACTATATACAGAATCATGCCCATTTAGAAGGTGACAGATCAAGACAATTTAAGAGCAAATTAAGCTTAAATTTCTATTCTTAAAAGTAATGAGAAAAATCACAAAACAAAATAATGGGCTGTTTAAGTGAATAAAAAAACTTGTAAAAACATTGTAAAATATAATTAAGAGAAAACTAACAAACTGGAAAAACATTTATAATATGTTATTGCCACAGTTTTCAGTGCTGCTCTACAATCAGCATGCGCCTGTTTGTGAGAGCCAACTGTGTGTGCCTCTTTCCATATTTGTCAGTGACATACTGTTGGTGTTCTAAATGAATCATAGAGTTTTTACACCATGGAAATAGGCAAACACTGAAAATCAGAGTTAATTACCCATAAAAAATTGATTGCTGAATGTTAAACATTTAACCGTGTATCACTGGTTATTATTCTTACTTAACTAAAAAACACATCAAATCAATAAGAATTAAAAAGCACTACCCCCCCCCCAAACAAATTGACTAAGACATTAACAGATTATTGACAGAGAAAATCAAGATTGTTATAATTACTTTTAAGAAGTGAAAGAGATCTCATTTCTATCCCATTGAATTAGCAAAGATTAAAACAATACATCTCAATGCTGGCATCAGCACAGTGGAGAAAGCACTTTCATAGAATGCTAATGGATGTATTAATCACTATAAACTTTCTGGAAGCCAATTTGGAAAAATACATCAAAAGTTTTCACCATGTTCCTCCCCTGGTAATTCTGCTTCTAAGAACATATAGTATGGAAGTAATCCAAATGCTGACACATACCCATGCACAGATATTTCAATATTAGGAGAATAATTAAGCAAATCATGGTATGTGCAGCATGCAAAGAGCTTTTAATGACATAAAAGAGTTTATGACAATTTTATATTAAAGATTGTGCTTAGAAATGTCATCTCAGCATTCTAAATGGAATGTCTGGAAGGACTAGAAGGAGATACATTTGAGTGTAGAGATTATCATTTGGTGACGAAATTATGTGAAATTTTTGTCCCAGGTTTTAAATTTTTTCCCTAAACTTTCAAAATAATTACAATGAACAAGTATTACTCTTATATAGGTTGGGGAAAAAACACAATAAAGCAATGTTACATATAAACTTTTTTCATGAGTTAAAAATAAATTAGTTTAAAAACATAATAATCTTAAAACATAATTAGCTGACAGCTTAAAAAAAATTTGATTTTAAAAAGAAACAAGCAATCAGACCAACCTCCTCATTTTTCCTATATATGCCAAACGTTTAACAGGATTGCAAGTATTCTGATGTTTTACAGTTTTTAGAAAATACTTTGTTTGCTTTGTCTTTTTCAGATGTAATCTAAGATGATTATTATAGGAAAAGGTGCTCTTAACAAAACTTCTAGAAATCTGGGAACATCTCTTAATGCTAAGATTTTTTTATTGGGGTATAAACAATATGTATTAAAATGTAGAAATTGCCCTGACCTGTACAGCTCAGTTGGTTGGACATCATCCCATAAAGTGAAAGGTCACCAATTCAATTCCCAGTCAGGGCGCAGGTGTGGGTTGTGGGTTTGGTCCCTTGTTGGGGTGCATGCAAGAGACAACTGATTGATGTTTTCTCTCACATGGATGTTGTTTTCCCTTTCTTTCTCCCTCTCTTTATCCCACCCCCCTCTAAAAAAAAGTAGAAATCGAAGTGTATATCTGGGTCATTTTAATGAATATGATTAACAATATAACCACTACTCAGATCAAAATATAGAATATTCCAGAAGCATTTTGATATTTCTGAGAATGCTCTTCCCTTTCCAATTACCAAGAAGTTTTGACTGCTAAACTTGGGTCTTATTTTAGTGCTAGTTCTATACTTGCTTGAATTTCTCATCATTTCAAAGGCACTGGATCCCACATCTCTTGTCACTTTCATGACACTTCACTATGCCTGAAAACATCTTTGAGTGATCTTAGAAGTGGTATTCATTTTTCAGCCCTGGGGTCAGTTCAGTTTGTGCTAAATACCAATCAATTACCTTTTAAAAGTTCACTAAGGTTTTTAAAATTTCTACACTCCCTTGAATGCATTATGGGGTTTGCCAGACCCTATAGATAGAAAGTAAATTAATAAATATGGTATTCTTAGTCTTAAATACAAAGTCATGAGGAAGTCATTGATAGATCAATCTCATTTTTTTGGTGTAATCCACTATTTTCTCTGATAGTATAAAAAGACATAAGGGAGGGAATTGTTATCAATTTTCATGATAACTCCACACCATTTTGGCCAGTTTCCTCATGTGTCTTGTAGGAAACCCTTGCCTGAAAGTTGCTATCCAGATTTGTCTTGCTCATTAGTACTTTAAAAACAGGGCTGAAAGACCTGCAGTAAAACCCTGTTTATCGCGGTTTAACCCAAGCCTTTTATTTTTTGATCAGAAACTCTTCTTTTTCCCTAATAGCTTAAACATTATTCATTCATTCATTCATTGCTCTACTCAGAAAATATTTAGAGTGCTGACAACCTACCAGCACTCTCATCATCTGGGGTGGGATTTAGCAGTGAACCAAACAAAGTCCCTGCCTTCATGGAGATTATATTTTAGAAAGAAAAAAACAAATGATAAACAAACATAGACTGTGGTAGTTTGTGGTAAGTGCTACAGATAAAAATGATGTGAGTTTAAGGGGGATTGTGACTGTTGGGGTGGAGTGTGGTGCTGTTTCATAGCTTGTCAAGGACATACTTTTTGATGAGGTGATATTTGAGCAGGGACCTGAAGGGAATGAAGAACATTGCATAGGAACTTGTAAGGGAAGATGATTCAGCCAGAGTGAATAAATAGCAAGTGCAAATGCCCTGCAGCCAGAGTGTCTGGTATGTTCCAGGAAGAGGTGAGAGACAGTGTGACCAGCAGGAAGGAGAGAGCAGTGGGAGAAGGGGTCAGAGAGATTTTGGGGGTCAGATTATAATGGGCCAATGAACCAGCATCAAAACTACATTATAAAAACCTCTGTTTGAAATGATGACATTAATATAATCTTGGAGATTTAGACTAAGATAAACACCTTAACAACATTTGACATGATGTTGAACAACTGTCTTTGCTGTTGCATAGACATTCGACAAACACTTTTTGAATGGAATTTCTTCCACTTTGGTGTAAATGAACAATTGGAATATTGAACTGTTTTCATCAGAGGCAACTAAATTGTAATTATTTAAACTTAAACAATAGCAACTCATTTTTATAGTTGAAAAATGATATTGGTGGTTGATAATCTTTGTCGATGAATGACGCCAACATATGGGAAATAAAGAACTACCTCGATGTTTTGGCTGAGTTTTTTGACAATGCTAGTGATGGTCTGGATGTGGTTTTCCAGTAACTTCCTGGCAAGCGACTCCTCTTTTTGAAAGCCGTGTGTCCCCTGAAGACAAGCAGAGATATCCTCCTTGATGCGGAAGGCTTGCTCAAGGAGGAAAGCTATGGTGCGCTCCTGGCTGTTCAGTCTGTCTTCCAGATGACTTCTCTGGATGTTTGGAATGACAGGAAGGAAAGAATGATCTCTGGTCAGGAAAAGGAAACAACACCAGGCCGTTACAAGAGTGAGCTTGGAGGAGCCAGAACCAGAACTTGCACCCTCACTTCTATGCCTGTATTTTCTCACCTGTGAGAAGTCTGATAGGACTGCGGCACCTGCATGGTTAGGATTTTGGTTCATATCTCATCTAAGAAGCACTTCTGACTTATACCTTGATCTTGTATCCTGCATTTTTCATGTTTCCTGGGCAAGAACTGTTCTGTATTTTACCTACTATTCTAATAAGCTAAGGTGGATCCAGATAAATTTAATACCTGTTAATTCTATATTGAGAACAGGGCTCCTTTCTTATAGCTGGAAAAAATAATAGCTCAATGAAGAGTAAATGGACTAAATAAGAAAAAGGAAAAGACAAAGGCTAGGGTTATTTAATATCAGGGCAAAGAAACATAAAATCCTGATAGCCCCTACTGGCATTAGCATATTACTCCTTCTCTTAACAGATAAACTTCTTGAAGGACAAGCTACTTTTGTTGTCTTTTTCTTTAATTTACTTTGCATAGTTTTTGTGACCTAGTCTCTAAAATCACACATCCGCAATTTTGTTTTGGTGTGTTCAAGAGAAGCAAGTCACTAAGTTCAACCTATACTCTTGGGTTGGGGTGGGGGTAGAATTGGGCTCAACCTCTTGAAAAATGGGATATCAAAGAATTTGTGGACATTAAAAAAAACACCACTCTGTCACTGTCATGGAATTGGCTTCTGTCTCTAATTGCACCTTGCCCTGTGTCCGTCCTTCCGCTGCCACCAATACACTGTGGCTGGAAAGCAAACTTGGAGTTGTTCTGAGGTGGGGTCTAGGGCCTGGGAAGTGATGGGAGTTCTGTGGGGCCCAACCAACAGACTTCGGAATCATGGGAAATATTGCTATCCCCCATGGCCAGGGTTGCTTGCGTCTTTGCAGAGTCCATGGGTGAGGCTCGTTCAACCACAGTGCTCAGCTACAGTTGGTCCTCGGAAGACCCACTTAGCTCCAGCTTCCCAAGAAATTGAAGCTCCAAGGGAACGAGAGTTGAGGTCTAGAGTGAACAAGTCAGCTAAGGTAAGTCTGCTGCAGAAGAACACAACAACTCACGTGAGGCAGAGCACAGCCAGAGAGGAAATGCATTATACTGCTCTTTGGGAGTTCAAGTTCCTGGGCTCACTATGGTTGTGACCAAAATACTGAACTAACATGACCACCGACTTCTCATTTTCCTTCCCTTTTAAAGCCTCAGAGGGCCTAGAGTGAGACAATGAGAAAACTGTGAAAACCCCTTGGGGCAGTGGGAGGTAGTTTATCCTGGGGATTATGTGGGGTGGTGTAGTGGGTGACGCCATATGCCACCCACCTCCTTTTTCAGGAAGGTAGGACTTATTTCCCCAACGCTTGGGAGTACTAACAGTGAATAGACCTCAGCTATGAGCCTTCTCTGGAAACTGCCTTGGTGAAGAAGGCACCTTGTCAAAGGCCATGCTCCCTTCCTAGGGCAGCTCAAATTCAGTGGATGGTCAGTGTGTGGATATAATAAAGGCCTGGCCCACTTGCTCTATCTCAGAACAACCTCGAAGACCACCTCAGCTTCAGAGCTCCCTGTGGAGTCAGCTGATGTCTTCTTGGTATTGTATCACAATACTTTCTTCCCAATGGTTTCCTTTCCTTCTCTTCCACAGGTGGCAGATCCCAGAAAACTCCATTATAAGCCTTCTGTTCACCAACCTCTGCCTCAGAGCCTGTTTCTTGGGCAACCCAACCTCAGTCAGATGGCCACTTTGGTCTGAGACGGATGTGGTTGTGGGAGAATAAAATGGGGAGGAGAGACCATTGTAGATCTAGTTTTGTTTCTACCCCTATTGCCTTGGGACAAACCACAATACCCTCGTGAAATTTCAGACTCTGGTTTGTGTCCTAAAGACTAAGATCATGTAAGGCACAGACTTGTGTTGGTAAGAAGCTGAAAAGCCCCCCCCCCCAACAATTTGGGGGAACAGCTGACTGTGAGCAATTGCTTCTACCCTGTTTACTGCCACATGCCCTAGGGGAGGAAAAGCTACTGCTCTCTTGAGGTTACTTCTTCTTAAGGAACAAAAGCTAAAGGGTAGGAGAAATTATTCTGTACAAGGAGGGATTCTTTTGTAGAATGTAGAATTATGGTTTTACTGTCCCTGCAGTTCATCCCTGCCCTACTGGCTGAGCTCACTGGAGCTGACAATACTCCATTTGGGGATCAAGGTTCTGGCTGAAATCCTCGGGAGAAAATGAACTCACAGGTCAAAATAACAGGCCATTTGAGGAGCACAGTCTTTTTAAAAACCAGCCAAAAAAAGAAGAACTACTAGATAACAGATTCCTACAGAAGAGAAATTAAAAAATATATGCAATAGGAAATTGTTAGAAAGGCTAATAAACATTACGAAATAAGATAAAGGAATATATTTACTTTTAGCAAAATAAAAATAAAAAAGCAGAAAACATAAAAAGTAAACTAGTAGAAATATTGGGCATGAAAAACACATAACTGAAATAAAGAAAAATAAAAGATAGGCTAAAGATAACAAAGGGATAAGCTAAAGAATCAAGAGATTTGGGAGACCAGACAAAGGGAGTTTACCAGGCAGAAAAGGGAACAGCCACACAGTTTGGAGATATCAAGGTCAGAATTTGAAATTCATATCTGTGACTCTAAAATTAAATGTTAACCTTAACTCTATTATATTCCTATTATGCTAGGAGATAAGCAGAAATAGGAGATGCAATTGGATTAATGCTACTCTTGTGACCTAATAGAGTGGCAGCAGAAATGACAGAATCGCCCCCACACTCCATATCCACTCTTTCTTTAGATTTTTCTTCCTTTCTCGGTCCTGGCCACTGCTCTCTCATCTACTTTCCCTCCTAACAAAGAGTGCACCCTCCACACAGCAGCTAGAGTGGTCTTTCTAAAAGTGTAAATGGTGGCGCTTGCCTACTTAAAATACTCTGATGGCTTACCCATTCTCTGAGGATAAAATCTTGCTCTTTCCAACCTCATCTCCTCCTACTCTTCTTTCCATTCCCTCGCATTCAACCACACAGGCCGTCTTTCTGTTCCTCAGACAAACCAAGTTAGTTCTCAGCTCAGGTTTTGGCCCCTGCTGTTTCTTCAGCTTGGAACACTTTTCCTTGCAGTCACTTCACAGCTGCCTCCTTCTCATTGTCTATGTCGATATTCCAATATCCCCTCCTCAGACAAGCTTTCTTCTCTGTCGCGTTCTCCCATAATATCCCATTTTGTATTCTTCAAAGCATTTGTCATTACAAAAACTATCCTATGTACTTGTTTGTGTTAACCTCCTTCCCTCCATTACTAGAAGAGCAGCTCCTTTTGACCGGGTGCTGTAACTGGTTCTCCACAGTGTCTCCAACCCTGAGAAGAGTGCCTGACACATAGTAGGTGGTCAATAGATATTTGTTGACTGACTGATTTCTCTGTTTGCCCCCTTAAGGCTCAGTTGTTGGAAAATTGGAAAAAATAATGGTTTTGTGAAGCTACCGGTCATTAGGACCTTCAAGATGTACAGTTGTCTCTCTTATGCGGCAAAAAATAGCCTCCGCCTGGGCGAGACTGCTCTTTCCTATTATCTGCACATCTGAGCAGTGAAGAAGGCTTTGCTAAGGGGTTTCCTTAATCAGATTCCATCTATCACTCATTTGGCTCACAATGTTCTTCTGGAAAATTACCAAATGGATCCTCATCTAGATAAAACCCGTTTCTCTAAAACCCCAGCATGCTGATGGCGCTCCGCTGGTTGCCTGAGTCACAGGCGTGAGGGAGGAGGATGTCGGCCCGCTGATGGTGACACAGAGCCTAGCGGGAGGGTGCAGGTTCTCTCATTATTTCCCTGAGCTAGTGCTTCTTTCTGCTTCTAGATCATCTGCAGCCTGGATTTGCCAGTGAAAGGGTATCTGATCTTCAGTCTTAAGTTCCATACACAGACTCATAAATGATGCTGCATTCCTCTCAAAATTTAGATTTTCTCTTTGGAGTTCTCAGAGTGGCAGACACTGTAGGTTGGTTACCTTCCCAATGGCCATCCCTCCCTTCTGCCTGATTCACTTCATATTCCTGTTCCCTGTGTCCTTAGTGGGGTGGGGGTAAGCTAATCATGGTCTCATTCTTCTAGGCTGAGATGCAGTGGGTTTAGGCAGAAGTATGTGAAACAATTCAGGCCAGTGAGACTCAAGGGGAAGCCCACTGTGGGCTTCTGGGTGAGGCTTCTTTGCCTTCAAGAAGAGACACCCGGGAAGAAACTTTCCTTCTCTTTGCTAGGTGTTGTCACGTCTGTGCTTGATGCCTGAAACTCTTGGCTCCATCTGATTGTGAGAGGAAAGAAGATGGCAAGCGGGAAGGATAGAAAACACTTGGGTTCTAGATGATATTGTTAGGCCTCTAACTTAACCAAACTCAATATTTTTATGTGGACTAATCAATGCCCTTATGCTTAAGCTATTTTGGTTGGAGGTTTTTTGTGTTTTTTATGTGCAGCCGAAAACACTATATCTGTATCTAATAACTTACCAATAAAAATGTCAGTTGCAATAGAAACATATCAGTTCATCAGAATTTGCTAAATATCTACTCTTGTCCATACACAAGTGCCTATACAGTACTTTCATTCCTTAGGGAACTTAGTCTAATTCAGTGTTTCTCTTGAATTAGTATCAAGGAGGTAGGGAAGGGAGGGAAGCTGTTAAAATACAGATTCCTTGGCTATACCATCGACCTACTAAATCATAATCTTGGGGGTATGAAAAGGAGAGCAAGAATGTGTATTTCAAATAGCACTTATGTGATTCTAATATATTCTAAACACTCAACAGCACTGTTTTAAAACTGGTCATGGGAGCCAATGAATACTATAATGCAGGATATACAGGGGTCTGGCACAAAATAACGCCCCTTTTTATTACAAAATCTTTTATTACAAAATCATAAGCATGTAATT